AGGCTTGACACTGGATTTGCCAATGATGGTTATTGACTTATCTCAATATTCTCTTCTCTTTTTGAGGTATGTAACAATTAGGAATGAAAGAAAGTTTGTGTAAAATTCTGAAGTGCCAATTCTTTGCTAGTGCCAAGTGAATCTGATATCAATGTGTTAAGAGCAAGATCTTACATATTGCATTCTATACAGGATCCAATGATTTGAAATAGCGTAGTGTTCAATACATTGCTTATTTCATTAGTAGAAGAAGCTAAACACATAAAAGACAAGACAGAATTTGGATCTCTCACATGATCCACCAAAAGATAAAACCATAGAACAGTTACCTAAGAAATTAACAAGTTATTTATCACCTGGTTACAGAACAATCAGAAATCGAAATCGCCACCCATATCACCCATATCTGCAACGTCATCAATGGCTTCACCAACCAGTAACCCACCCAATAACCCAGCTCCAAGTCCAAGCCCTAGCCCCATTCCTGCTCCTCCCATTCCTCCATGCTTCTTCGGTTTCTGCGGTTTACCATGAGCTTGCTGTTGCGGGTAACCGTACGGTCCCGGTGGCGGATATCCCTGGTATCCGTAACCCGGACCCTGCGGCGGATAACCCGGATATCCACCTTGAGGCGGGTATCCACCGTGTTGCGGATATGCACCAGGTGGCGGATACCCACCAGGCCCAGCAGCTGGATATCCACTAGGACCGCCCTGTGGCGGATATCCACCGGGTTGTTGCGGGTATCCGTAAACACCAACACCACCACCGTGTTTATCGTCGTGACCCGGTGGTGGGTAACCGGAAGGACCCGCATGAGGAGGAGGACCCGGGTATGCAGACGGAGCTCCTTGTCCGGGCGGGTAAGCCGTGACAGGCTGATCCGTAGTCTTGTGTTCAACAGCCGATGGTACAGGCGCGTGAGGAGCGCTCGAAGATCCATAAGTATACTTATCCCCAAATTTGAACGAGAATTTCAGAGATCCTTTAGCTTTACCGTTAGGTAACCTCACGGCGTAAGTTACCGTTTTCTCCTCGTCGCCGGACTTGTTCTGATCCAAAAGCTCTTTCACCGGAACGCTAACCTCACCGACGGGTTTATCACCGGCGATGGGTCGATCCGCTACGATCTCGAAAACCAGAGTCAGACGATTCTCACGCGCCGCCGTGTCGTCGACGGTGAGTTTCATCTGATGCTTCCATTTGGGTTTTGTACCGCAATCTTTGTCGACTTTGGTCTTCTGCTTCGTCCTTGCATCACCGTTGATCGAAACGACTGCGTATAAGTCTTGTTTACCGATCAATTGAATGTCTTTTAGATCCTCTGCTGATATAATCGTTAGATCCAAAGTTCTACACTCCATGGTTACTCCGATCGAGATGAATTAGAAAAAAAAAAAAAGTTTTGATTTTGAGGAAAAGATTGGATTTTTATGTTTTTTCCGATGAAGAAAAGAGAAGCGAATGGGTAAAGGATGTATAAATATGGAGTCTTTAAGTCGGTATTAAGAAAAAGGAGTTTTTTACACACACGGGACGGACACGCACGAGATTTATTGCTTAACGCGTTTTAAAAAATGGTAGTTGTGTTTTCCTAATATTAGTTTTTTTTAAAATCTTATCATGAGTTTAATTAACTTGCTGTTAATTGATTAGTTGTAATTTGACTCTAGAGTCTAGATCAAAAGATCTAAACCAAAGTGATAATGGCCAATCTAACCCTTTGAACACGCGCGTGTGATAAAGAGGTTTCTCAAGGGGTTAATTTCGGACGAATGTCTGGAATACTACAATCTCACCCTACTCCTGTCTCTCATACTCTCTTGTTGTCTACTGTACTCTTTTTTTTTATTGGTTGTGGATTCCCGTTTTTATCCTTATTAAAACAAATTTCTTTTTTTTTCAGATTTATTTATTAAAGAAAAAAAAATAGGAAACAAAATCTCGTCGATGTCGGAGAAAGCATTCATCGAAACCTCTGATTTCTACAAAATTGATTTCTAATCTTGCTTGGTTTCTATGGTGTGAGGAGTAAGACAAAGTGCAAAAAAGAGATTGATGACTGAGAAACCGAGTTCGTGAAGAATCGATTCAGATTCAAGGAGAATCGATTAAAACGTTTATACATGGAGAAAGATCTTCTCAGAGCCGGCAGATTCGAGAGTACAGAGGAATTCTTTTGACGACGGAGCTTGAAGTCACTGTGAAGAGAATCTCTCAGGATTCTAAACAAGGTATGACATAGCTTGTGGCAGAGATCGTGAGTATCGGTACCATGCGAATTCGGCGATTTCAGAGCAAGCAAGCAAACAAGTGTCTTATTCCAAGAGATACCTTAATTCACGGTGATAAAATACTTTGATTGTGAGCTTGTCGAGCATCTTGATTACTCAGAGGTTTCATTGAGGAACGCCAACGAGAAAAAAAGTTTTCGATGGAGAGGAAGTGAGGATAAAGAAGCTGAATGGTTTGGTGTCTGAGGACGGTGGAGGAAGTGTGGAGGAAGAAGCCCAGCAAGACATGTGAAAAAAATCGTTGTTTCGAGGAGGTTCTTTGGTGTTTTCTTACTTGTGACAGCGGCATATTTTAGCGTTTTTGGTTCCAAGACGAACTCTTCTAGAAGAACAATTGTCGACTCGAGTTTAGAGGGAACAATCAGACCGCGTTATGGCTTGGGAATGTAAAACTTAGATTGTGGATGCATTCGAATTCAAGAATGGGAACGATATATAGCGTGATCGTGAGAGAATAAGAGATCTAGTTAACTAAATTGGGTATGTTTCATGTCATGTTCGTTGTGTTGCTATGCCTTGAATTGTTAAAAAAACGTGGCTTGACATTGTGTATGAACAATGGTTGAACTACTACGTATCTTTGTTGTCTATACTACTATGTAAAACTATTTGAACGACTATGTATTCTTGTTGTCTGTACTACTACGTAAAACTATTGAACTACTATGTATCCTTGTTTCTTTGTTAGAGTTATTCTCGTTTCTTTTTGGTTTGACATTGCGTATGAAAACGAATGGAAAGAATCAAACATGTGTATGAGTATTTTACAAAAGAAATAATATAGTTTTTATATAAGTTCATGAATTCATTATTTTCGAAGGAATTAAACTAAAATATTTATCTTTGTGAATTCAAAAGATAAATATAGAATACGAAACCATATACTTTATATTTGATAATGTTTGGAACTATGAATAATATTTGATAATGTATATCATCTTGCACATTTCACATA